TGTGTCTTCATCTGCCCCACTTATTTTCAGTAGTTGTTCTCCTTGGATGAGTTCCGAAGCTGCTTCGGTACAACGCCTGAAACTTCTTCGTCATCTTTGACTTCTTGCATTGATCTGGTCACTAAACAAAGTGGTCGTTTGAATGAACTTGTCTGTTCACCCATGGGTCATAACATGGGGGACACCTTTGTGTGTTGTCCGATAGTCAAAAGGAATGGGTTGAATACGCTTTTCTCTGATAAGTCCTTCTCACGTTGTGTTGATACTGAGGCTACGGTGTTGGACARGTGTCGAAGTCGATACGTGGGTTCTGAGCTGCAGAAGGTAGCCCGATGGAAAGCTAATGGAATTTTTGGCCGAGCTTATGGTATTCCGAAGCACAAGGATGAAAAAAGGTGGAGGCCTATATGCCCGTCSTTTTCTGAATGTACAACTGTCGRCSTTCAAATGATATCACGTGTTGYCAATSACATGYTGTGGAAACTCCCGCCGAAGTCAAACTTTAATCTTCGCTCTACGACTGACTTGATCCAAGAAATTCCTGAGGTGAATAAAGGCTTGAGGAAGGGTCAATATTTGATTGGGGCGTCCTTTGATGTGACAGAGATGTTCTCTAATTTACCTCACTCTTATATTCTGCGAGCATTGGAATGGATAATTGACTATTGGGTCAACGACGACTGTAATAAGATTGTCATACAGAAGAGAGGTAAGGTTGTCAAAATGGTAAGAGTGAGGCAGGAAGAGGGTTGGTCGTATCTGAGCTTTCAATAGGTTTGTGATTTTGTGGATTTCGAACTGAAGAATACTTTTGTTATGGTCGGAGGGATTCTTATGCAGCAGACAGTCGGAATCCCGATGGGGAAGTCTTCAGGTCCTGCCTTGGCTTGTCTTCTGTGCGCTTATAACGAGTTTATGTTTATTACTTCTCTTTCTTCTTCTCTTTCTTCTTCTCTTTCTTCTTCTCTTTCTCTTTCTATTTTCTGACCCCTTTTTCATGGTTTCAGGTTGGTAGACGATGTCTCGATCTTTGTCGTGTGTGATGAGCGATCGACTAGGTCTAACGAACGAGCTGAGGGGTTGATTAAGAAATTTTCCATGAGTTACGATAGTGATTTGGGTTCTTGAAAGGACCAATGATGGTCAAACATGGGACTTTTTGGGATGTGTCCTGAAGGTATTCAAAGGTACAGCTGGTGTGGCTTGTTTTCCAATGCATAAAAATCAGCGGGGATGGAGAGAGGAGAAGTTGATGTTTTAGAGTATACAGGACTTTGTGTCCTATTCGAGTAAGCAACAAAAAATGGCTGTCATTGGGTCTTTTGTCATTGTGCTCGATTATTTGCTACAATTCCAGGTATGGAGCTTCCTTTTCTGTTCACGTTGAAGGTCGAGCTTTGGCGACGTGGGTATCCAGATGTTTATTTCGATCATGCCTTGATTAATTTTTCGAGGAAATTTGTTGGTCTTTGGGATAACTGGCTGCGAGTTTTAACTGGATGGGGTAGGTTATCGGTCGAATGTGGTGGGGGAACCGCTGCCCGTCTGTAGGGCTTTGACAGTAGTGTCTTTGAACCTTGGTCTGCGATTGTAAAAAAATGATGTAGGTATTACGACGTTTCGGCCCAGTTGTCGGTGTGGGCCTTGATCCTAGGTACCTTTTGGTAATTTCCTAAAAAGTAGTGGGCTGAAGTTTTCTTTTCTATTCATGAACATAGACCCAGGTGGATGTACGGTGACTTCTATCTCTTGAAGTCTGTTTCGCAGGTAAGATACATAGGCCTAGTTGGTGTACCTGAACTGTTTATGTTCTCTCGGTTTCCTGGTTCGTTGAATGTGGGGCAAATAGGCCGGAATTTCGATGTATCTTTATGTTTCGGCAGGGCATATGCCCGCCCAAGTTTCCCGCCTTTTTTCTAACTCCAATACCTTGCAAAATCATGCTCCCGATATTCTCCTTCCAATTTCACAATGATATCACTCTCATCCTCCTTTCTCACTTCGTAATCCTCGTTCCTAATGAAGGTACTGCTCATTCCTGCAGCATACACTTCGGCACACATCACCAGTTTCTCCCCATGATTCCTATCCAAGGGGGTACACACGAAACCTTCCAATCTATTCTTGAATTCGATGACGAATTTCATATTGCTCATGCTCGTCTTTTTCGATCTATCAACGCACATCTTGAATTCCTCATCGGTAATGTTAATAGCACTGACATCCACGTTCAACCAATCGATCCCATGAAGGGATGTCAAAACTTCCTCCTTCAATCTCTTCTCATATTCGGTATTTCATTCCTTTGGGATGTTTTTTGCGTTCCTTGCGATCGCGGGGCAACCCTCCCATATTCCTAGTCGAAAATGGATATGTCCCTCTTCTTTAGGGAGAGACGATCCGGTTCAGTTGCACCTAGCAACTCAACTCGCCACGTATCGGCGATGATTGTGGATAATATCCCCGATGTTTGGACCACGTGTCCAGAGAACTCGGGTTCGTTGCTTCACCATTTTCTTCACGTAAGCATCGAGTGGAAGCCCTCCAATCGTTCTTCTCACAAACCTTACCACTTCCCCTTTCTTCACTCGTTCATCGAATCTTACCTTGGTAATCACGTGCCTACTAATCTGTACCCCGAACTTCATCTTAACAACATCAGTAACCATCTTCTTAGCTATTGATCGACTTCTCTTTGTTGAAAAAATCTTAGCCGCAGCATAATATCGAATCAGTTCGCCGATTTGCAATCTTTTCAGCTTATCCTACTTCTTCTTGAATTTGAACATCCTCACCAAATCATCCTTCAACCTCAGGGTCGATGATGATGCTTCAGTAACATTCCGGATTTTCACACTCCTTTTCTGTTCAAACATCTTTTTGCACTTTCTTAGCGGCCTTGTTCTTTTACGCACTCGCACTCTTGTTTCACCAAAGGTTCGACTCACCACACGCCAGTTATCCATTCATACCGACCCGTCATTACTCTTCACTTCATACTCCCTTCCTTTTCCGTTTTTTTCTAACTTGCGCAGTAAGCCCACGATTCGCACAGTTCCTTTTTCCGCTTCGTCAACTTTCAGAGCAAGGATCTTAGTCGGTACTGCGTTTTTTGTAGAACGATGCGAATTGATTGTCTTTGCTTATCCTAGCAAGATAAAAAGAATCATGGGCGTTGGGATTCGTACCGACAACCGTAAAGATCCCTGATGATGGCTAGAGTGGCGACCAACCGAAACCGGTAGGATTACGCCATGGTTTGACTTGGCTCGACGTTTTCGATGATAATTTTACGTGAGTCAGTCGCGCTCGGGAGACTTGTTATCTTGTGTTGGTTTTTCCTCTTCTTCTTCTTCTTCTTCTTCCTCCTTTCCTTTTCTTGTCTTTTTACTTGCCTCTGTCATATTGTCGCGTCGTGGATAGATACTGAGAGTTATTGAATGAGATGTCTCATAAACAACTTTTTCACACGGGGTAACCGGTGTTGGAGGTATACAACGGCCGAGTGGCTTCGGATCACTTTGTAACCTTATCCACTGATTCGTACACTATGACTTCTAACTACCCTTCTACCTCATCTCAAGTTGTGTGCACGTGTTACAATTGCGGTCAACTCGGCCTATTCGCTAGGTTTTGCCCACACCCTCCTCGCAATCCTACTATCTCTAATCCTAATAACGCTATCATCCCTGTCTTGAACCCTCCCCTCCTCACTCTTCCTCAATCTTCTGTGGCTCCAGCTCAGACTTTTTCCAATCCCAATCCAGGTATGGGTACAGTAGAGGAAACGGATGGAATCAGACTCAATAACGTCTTGGATGTCTAGAGGACAAAGTGTCGAAGATCATGGTACGACACGACGCAGAGGAAACTAGAGATCGTGAGAAAAAAAAAGCGGAGGAACGTGCAACACGTGAGAAGGAAGAACAATTGAAGAAAGAGAGAAAGAAGAAGGAATGAGAAGAATTTCACAAGGAGATAGGCGAGGCTATGAATGCTAGGTTGGATGTCGTATGCGCGACTTTACTCGGGAAGGGTCTGAACGAGGAACTTGACAAATTGAAGGCGGAGGTTGAAAGCCTGAGACGAACGCAATTTACTATTGGGACAATGGGCGACCGTGGAGGGAGTTCACCCGATGTTATCAGGAAGTACACACATGAGAAGAAGGAATCAAGTAAAAAAGTTTTGGAGGATGAGCAAAGATTGGCGAGGATGGAGAACGAGATTCGATTGTTAAGGAAGGAATGTGATAATGCGGTTACTGACGCCGAAAATTGGAAAATTGAGGCGTTACAACCAGGAAACAAACGAGGCGGAATCGTTATCGAAACCCCTTCCACGTAGGCTAGGGTACGACCGCGTTATACATTGATGAAGTTCCCGTCTACTTCACATGCGGCCGGTATGGCGGCATGTCACGCTCGAGAGGTGATCGTGTTGAAGGAGCAGAGGGCGCTTGAACTGAATGGCAGGCGGGTGGCTGAGCAAGAAGTTGAGTCATTGAGGGAGCAACATGCTATTGATATTGAAAACAGACGTAAGGCTGAGCAAGAGATCGAGAGACTGAAGATGGCATTGTCGAGGATGGATATGGAGCGGCAGCAACGCACGCCAGGTACAAACCTTCGCTCGAAGCTCGATGAGGCGGCGAAAGGATCAGTGAAGAAGTCTGCTAAAGGTAAAGAACATGCAAATCAAGGAGCACAGACCAACAACAAGGAGGCGTTTATCTTTGATAATAGGTGCACGTTAAGAGGTTTGAAGAAAGATGAGGTGCTGGCTATTTGTGCCAGAGAAGGGGTGACATATACGACATTGGACCGTGCCAAGGAAGATATTGTGATCAAGAGGGTTGTTTTAGCGTTTGGTGAATCGGGTCCTGTTGATGTACCTGATGACTCTAACAACTCTGCTGACCTCGCGAAGACTGATGGAGTCGAAACGACCTCTTAGGGTCTATCCCGAGTGCGGTTCAGTTATGGAATTTGGCGAAATGGTGTGGTAATCGACTCTCCTCTCCTCAATTTCTTCGCTGTCGAGATGTGAATCTTTTCTTCTGTCTGGTGGTGATTCTCCTGATTTTGTCTCAACAGATCCCCTGGGCTTACAAATTCAAAGATTTTCTCTGTCGACTGATTAATAACGGGTTTGACTTAGGTAAATGTGAGGGTCCGTTGGTGTATATTTTGGTTTCTCCCTGGTATCGTAATATCTATGTAGGCCAAACTGGACGAGGTCTTTGTACTCGTTGGAATGAGCATGTTTTTCGCACATAGAACACCGCTGTAGTAGAAGGGGGTAGATGTAATGAGAGATTGTATCGGTAGTTGAGACGCAGTGAGATTCATATTATGTCGATATTCCTGTGTGTGCGGGCGATATCAAAAGTATCGATATTTGTGAAAAGTTCTTCATTCGAAGGTTTTGTCCAGCGTAAAATGTGAGGCATAAGCCTAGCCGACCTAGGCGGAGGAGGCGTGGATTACGTGAACGTCTGCGTGGAAAAAGACGCAAGAGCATTGGATCGGATGCAGTGTGTGAAGATAAGTCACTGGTGACTTTCGTCTCTAGCCGGGGAATGTCCTGTGTGAGCTTTCGTAGGATTCTGGATGATTGTTACCGGCAGGGAAGACAACGTTGTGTTGTGGTATGTCGTGGGGGTACATCTCTTGGTGATTCTTGGAAGGTTTTGAGAAGGTGCTATGGTGTCTCTGTGGTCTCCTGTCAGTTTGGTGTTGGTCAACTTCGGAGAGCACGTGGATGGTTGAGAGGTGGGTCGACTCTAGTTTTTCATTCTGTTATTCCTTTTCTTAGTCGTTCTCTCGAACTGAAGGAACCTCTTGCTCTTCTGCTAAGCAATCCTTCACCTCGAAGCAATCTATATCTGTGGAATCACGATAAATTGATTTTCTCTTATTCGACAATTCGTAGTTTTACGGAAAAAAAGACGAGGACCCGCTTAAGGTATATTGTGTCACGAGTGATGAACGCACGTTTTAATATTCAGGTTCGTAACATGCTTGTGGTGAGAATTGTCTACGACAGAGCGTTGAGTAAGGTGGTTATTCGTAATGTTTGTGTCAAAGCTGTTGACGGTCTGACTATCTCCGATGCTTGGAAGGACTTTATTATCTGTCGCTTACGAATCGTGTGGTGCAAGAACAAAACCGTTGGTGATATTATACATAATCACCGAAGATTGGCAAGGGTAGAGGCTGTCGAATGCACTTGCGCACATTCCGACGATCCCTTTCCGCGTATGGAAGGTCACGTTGCGTTTCGTTTCAGTAATACGAATTTTTTTCCTCACGTCATGTCAAATTCAAAAAACGTTCTTCATCCTTCTCGACGATGTGCTTCCTTTCTACATCGGCAACTCCTTCACTCTTTCAAAATATTTTMTGTGTCTTCATCTGCCCCACTTATTTTCAGTAGTTGTTCTCCTTGGATGAGTTCCGAAGCTGCTTCGGTACAACGCCTGAAACTTCTTCGTCATC